TTCTTTTTCAGCAAAAAAGAATTCAATTACAGCTCGTTGCTTGTAACGAGAGTCGTTCACAGACGCCATTTTAACAGTTCACTACAGCTCCGCCATTGGTTGGAATCATTTGAAACTCCGTACACGAACGCGAGAAACATCAAATCTCAAGCATGTAAAAGTACACTTTTCTATCTTCATTATTGGCTGAGAAAAAAAATGTGGGGCATTATTTAATGAGCGACCCTCGTAGCTTCTTAAATATTTGATTTAATTAAATATGTGCCAAACCAATACAGCAAAGGAGAATATTTGCGTCTACAGAAACAAAGTCAAAAACAAGGCAGAATATGCTATGACACAAATTGTTCCTTAATTAAAAGTCTCCATGGCTGCAAATTTATCTCCTTATCAAAGTTTATTATTATATACTCAATTTTAGCTTTCCATAAGGAAAGAGTTAATGATGCTTAACAGCAATGACAACACTGTTCTAATATATGGGTACAATTTGCATCAACTTACAAAAGAAATGAAATATAAACTTAAAACATTCATAGTTCCAGTGAATTGTACAAGAGATTCAATAGCATGCAGTATTTTGAATAAAAAGCCAACAAATTATACAAGATTTACGGGCTATATTTGTTTAAAATATTTCTCACTTTGGTCAATGTTTAATTTCATATGTTTTAAAATTATGCAACACAAAATTAAAATGGTATTTCACAAACAATAAGCAACAAAATTCAGTCCTCTGGCACCATTTTGCAAAGGACACTTCAAAATCCATTCATCAGAGCGAAATTCCTTCATGTGGAGATGGACAAGAGACACACAATACGTAATCCTAAATATTTCTTAAAAGTGCATAAAAATGTGAAACTCACCTCATGTTCAGACTTTATTAATGGAAGTTCTCCTAGAGGATCCTCCTCTTCATGTGTATCTGCAAAATCTTCAAGTTTTATATTCATCATCTGCGAAAGAAGATGTTACACAAGTCTCATTCTATGAACCAGGTACAACTTTAGGTAAAATTAAGTTATGCAAAACCTCCAAATCTGATGCTGATCATGACCACGTTTTGTCCACTTACAATTTCAATGTAAAATGTAATCATAACACAATGAGACAGGCTAGAGTAAGGATCGATAACCTTTTTGGGTGACAGGTAACTTGGAGGAGCTGATAATTATGGTAAACATCACAGAATAGCTTCTATATACAAGTGGACTGAAACAATTAGATTACAACTGTTAACTCATATCCTGTACCAACACCCTCAAGAAGAACTAAAAACATTAAACATTTAAAATGGAATGTTTAATTTCTTTACTGAACTAAGTCTGCTGAACAGACTAGTCCCCAGGCAGTCAAGATATTAGCCGCATATACGGAGCCCACAGGTTTACAGAGTCAGTTCAAAGAGCCTGCCACTGGTTGCTAACCTTAGCCACAAAGATCCAGTCCTTGTGCTCATTATCATATTTCTTTAAGAACTATTTTAATATTATCCTCCAATCTATAACTTGATACCCCAAGGGGTCTCTTCAATTCAGGTTTTGTAACTGAATTCTTGTATGCATTTCTAATGTTTACATTCCCTATTCATCCTCCTTGACATGAAAACAATATTAATTAACATTTGATGTAGACAAATGATTACAAGTTCCTCATTAAGCAGTCTTCTCCAGTCCCCAATATTTCCTTCATTGTTCCAAATATTGTGCTCTGTACCCAAGAGTCAAAAAGCATCAATGAATTTGCTTCCCCTAACCCTTTATAGCTGAAGTTGTCTGAATATCATTGAATAATTCAGTCAATACCTGCCTCAAAGAAAAAAGCACACATTTGCATTACAAAGATCAATTAGTTAACATATACTGAAAGCCATCTGTAATAAGAATAGCTCGCGCGAGAAGTGCTGGCACTTGTGCAAAGGACAGATTTTGGTCGCATGAGACGGGCCTATCCAAAGCACACGCTAAAGGGATGTCAGCTTCAGTTGGTTTGTAGCTCTAGCTGTGTTTAGATTGGTGAGTCAAAGCAGCTCAGACTGTGTGAATCCCACTACTACTGAACCCCCCTCTTTCGACTTATGCATCACGCATTTAGGTGCCACAACTATTAGCATGACCTACATGACTGTACATCAAACACGTCGTCATCCTACAGAGCACAAAACAGCGACAATTACCTATTCAACCAAGTAACAAAAATATCCATTATAAAATAAAGAATGAAAGTAGGAGATTAAATTCCACTTGGCAAATAACAGAAAAAAAATATATAATACAAATATGATATGGAACATTGTTTCCAGATGAACACAATTATTACTATTGTTAATGTGTCTCTCTCACACACATACACATGCATAAGTGTGTCGCACATGCACACATGCTTTCAAACAAGATACAAATATGAACAAGAGCATTATATTTAATTTGTAACATCTTAGACTGTTTAGTATTTATTTACAATTAATGGGGCACAGTTCTTGTACAAGCCTGAAAAAGAGTGTCTCTGTTACCTTGTGTTACAAATTAAGATAATGAATATAGTATATATGTACACTACCTAATTCAGACTGCAATTTTATATTATTCTTACAGGTCTGGAGCACTACAGGAGCAAATCAGAGTTAGGTTATAAACGTACAGTAATGTTCTTTCATAAAACAGTTTCACACCTGAACATAACTCATATAGTAAAAACAAACACACTCAGGCATGAGTACAAATGGACAGACAAAAATCTCATCTGAAAGCAAGGCTTACCTCAGTTTCATCTTCTTTTATGGAAAGTGATGATTGTACATGAACCTCATCAGTTAACATGCCTATGGAATCTTTTTCACTTAGAACATCAACATCATTATCCATTTTGATTATACTCATGTTCTGCTGTAAAATTAAAAGAATTATAAAATTGTTTTAGATATCTCAAAACTCGAGGGGAAATAGTTGTACTCTGAATACTGCATATGAGCAATATATTACTAATATGACGATGGTAATGCATTCCTGTCATAACAGCTAAACATAAGAAATATAAGTAATTTAAATGCACACAGTGTGTGCTACTGTGTGCTACGCACGATATTCAATGCTGATTTTAATCACAGTACCGGTATTCAATACTGATTTCAATCACAGTACACGTTGACAGATATGTTTGAAGTGAAGGGCGCACACAACGAATTTCACCCAGGTATCCTCGTGATCTACATATCTCAAGAACCCAACAATATTGTATAAACACTAGAAAGTATAAATCAAATAGAACTAAATTTTATGAAACTGTGATTAAATGTTCCACACATAAGCGTTTCCACTAACCAGTCAAAATAACTCACTGCACACCTGAGACTTTAAACCAATCTGAGGGTTAAGCGTAGTCGCATATGGTACACATGGACACAATCGAAGTACACCTATCGAATATATCGACTTAGAAATATTTTCAACATTTAAGAAGTCAATTATGTGATATGATTTAAAACGACAGCAGAAGCTATAGTAAATCAATTGACATAATATTTCGAAAGACAACATAATACTACATGCCTAACATTTGTAATTGATGGTTTATAAAACAGATCTTTCCTATTTATATTAGTCTATCTCGATCTGTTGCCAACTTACGGAAAGATGAAATTTAAACACAAGACCTTGAAAGTAATATGAGAGACGTCTCATTCTTTCCTATCAAACAGTCGAATGCATTAAATGATTTAAGAAGTACACTTATTACAACTATTTTCATTGAACATCACGTCTGAGTAGTTATCATTTCTGCTTCGTATTCCGGAGATCCCAATTTCAAAACTAGGCCCAAGGACTGGCTGACAAGCTAATCAAGGAATATAGAGAAATGGAATTTTATTTAAAAATTAGCACACAAACAATAAGTTTACACTATAAATGACACTAGTGACCTCAAGTGTTCATCATCAGTGACAAGATCATATAATATGATCAATATAGATTCATAAATGAGCCCCTCAGGCAGTCTGAATAAACACACACTTTAAAGCGCAGTGGAAAACTACCACCTGCTTCAACAGGCAGTAACTTTTCATTTTCTATTCATGGGTATTGTAATTTTCTCGCTGTCCACAGCAATGATTTCCTTAAACAGCATTAACCAGTCGAACCTTGTTATGGTGAAGTGTTGTGCTTTCTTTGAAGTATGGATTGAATTATAATATGTTATTTAGATGACCTTGGTTTTGAAGTCAAGGGGGGGGGGGTTATTTAATAAAATTATAAATTTTAATCCAGTATTTCTTTTGCCAATATTGTACTGCATTCATCAATCCTTGATTTTTACCAGCAAACTGATTCTTACACAGCTCACCTCTGTGCATGGTG